TGTGTAGTATCAACGATTTCCACAGAAGGTGGTGAGATGATGTCTTGAGCAGTTACGTATCCAGGACCCCTGACACAAATAAATGCGTCGCAAGTTCCATACGGATTACTTCTCAATACAATTTCTTTCAAATTCATTAAAATTTCATGTAYTGATTCTTCAATACCTACTATGGTAGAATATTCGTGTGGTATCTTCTCAGATTTTGCTCAAGGTACTGCTGCGGGCCAGGCCGTAGAAGGGATCGCGAGACAACCAGAGGCAGAGGGTAAAATACGAGGTACTTTATTGCTTAGACTGGCTCTTATGGAAGCTTTAAGAAGACATAGAATGAAGAGGAGTCAAGAATAAAGGGAAGAGAAACTTGAGGAGCTTGCCTCTCCTCCTTCACACTGTTCTCCCCCTGAGGAGAGGCTTGGAAGAAGGATTCATATTCAAAAAAGGACACATCCATCGATACAAAGTACTTATGTGCGACAGGACTGAAGCATTTGTATTCCTTCTGGGAAGATGGATAACCCAAGAAAACACATGGAACCGACTTGGGATCCAATTTACCCCGGTTTGGAGATAGATCATGAACAAAACACTTACAACCAAACACACAGAGGAATAGAAAATAAAGGGGATTAAGGGAAAAGATGTTGATGTGGGGCCTTGTATTGCAAGAGGCGTGATGACATTCGATTGATAACATAAGTTGTGGCCATCACAACACCAACTCAAAATCGTTTAGGAACATTCATGTGAAGCATCACACTATAAGAAACTTCAAGATGTCGATTCTTCCTTTCGGCAACACCATTTTGTTGTGGTGTTCTGGCACACGAGTTTATATGAAGAGATCCATGAGAGGAGAAAAACTTAGCTAAGTCATGATGGAAATATTCCTTCGCATTATCCGATCGGAAAATTTGGACTTCAACATGAAATTAAGTAAAAACCATGTGGTGGAAACCTTGCACAATCTTGAATACCTCTTCTCTGGAATGCATAGGATATATCCAAGTGTATCTCAAATAATCTCAATAAAGTTGATAAAATACTTGTACTCACCCTCAGTAGGTATGTTTACAAGGCCCCAAACATCAGAAAAGACAACATGGAAAGGCAAAGCAGATCTTTTATTATTTGATGGAAAAGTTGTCCTATATTTTGGTAAGCAACATTTCCATCGACATCGACATTTTAAACCTTGCTATGGTTTTCTATAAGATGGTAGAAACTAAGTTTGGGAAAAAGATCAAACAATTTCATTCAAACAATTCAACTAAGTATTTTTAAACACTCTCTAAACTTATTCCTTAAAGATGAAGGCACCTTAACAACTCAAGCACTATTATTTCAATACAAAGTTCCAAAAAAATTTTGGCCTCGTGCAATTCTCACTACATCATATCTAATCAACAAGATGCCATCCAAGGTGTTGGGCATCAAGACTCCTATTTTATCCTTTGCCTTAACCTACCTAAATTTTCTTTGCCTCCTAGATTGGTTGTGTATTTTTGTTCATGTCAAGGATCCTTAAAGATCAAAATTGGATCCCAAGGCTATTAGGGGAATCTTGCTTGGTTATTCTCCAACTCAAAAGGGTTACAAATGTCTTGATCGTCATACTAGAATGAAGTTTATTACCAAGGATGTCACCTTCTTTGAGTCACATTCCTTAAAGCTACCTGAAATTTACTTCAAGGGGGAAACTAGTGGGGTGAAAGAGACCTCCTCAAAGGTGAATCCTTTTGTGTCATTGCCTACTCCTACTACTCTTCCATCTTCTTCCCCTGATCTACATAGTCATGATATGTATGAAGAAACTCCAATAACTCCAGATGAGACTACTATGACTCCGATTGTCGCTGCTTGAGATGGCAAGAGAAATGAAGATGAGTTAAGTGTTAACAGAAGGAAAGAAAGAGAGGTAAAGACCCTCTAACTGATGACCACAACCAATTGGATATCTCTCAATTTGATCAAGGTATTTCTTCATTTAATTTGGATCTTCCTATTACCCTTCAGAAATCTGTTTGTTCATGCAACATT